CTGAAACCGACCTTCCAAGGTACTCGAAAATGCTTGTCAAAATCTCGAAAGAACAAACTCTTGTGTCTAGAGTCTCTAGTATTCTCAAAACCTCCTTATGCTGGTCTTTCTCACAAAGTGCAAACATATAACTTTCTGTTAATAAACATCGTTTTCCGCTGCAATGCTCTTTGAAGCTTTTGATAATCATAGAACAAACTCCCTCGATCTTTTCTTCGTCTTTGAGTTGGATCCAAAGAACCAATTCATAGTAACCAAATCTCGTAAACTCTGGAGAAGAATGATCAATCCATTGACCATCACGAATCATATCGAATATCCTATAGAATTCTTCTTCCATTTTCATATCAATCAATAAATTTAGAAGAGGACCATAAACTCCTTCTTCTACAAGGAAACCTTCTCTTGTCATGGCGGCCACAAGCTCGAAAGCTTTTGCTATCTGTTCGACAGCATACTCTTCATCCTCGCTCCTTTTCGCATTTTCTATGTTAAGTAGAATTGCTTTTTTGCATTCTTCAAAAACCTCAGGGAACCCTAATGAGTTAAGCGTATGTAATGCTCTACCAGAAGTTTCAGCACCAATTTCGAGAGCACATCGTAGTCTCGCATATGAGCTAATTTCAAAAGCATATGGAGGCGCAAATTGTTGTGAAGTTTCTGTGAAAGTATCTATGCCACAACAAGACAAGAGTAATATAGTTAAAAGAATATAAGGTCGACAAGAGTAATATAGTTAAAAGAATATAAGGTCGATCTATGAAACTAAAGGATATAATCTTAAAATTAGGGTTTATGAGTATACCTAGTTCAGAAATGGCTCGAGTATTAAGAGCCCTAACAATCAAAACTCTGACGTTTCTTGTGGCTGTGTTGGAGGCTTTTCCGGTAGATCTCACGGCGAAGCTGACGAATGTTGTGATGAGGCTCCTCGGCATTCTTGACAAAGCCACTCGCAATCTAAGGCATAGCCGAGAGGATTGAGTTAATGATTAAAAACCAAAACATTATTTAGGGTTTGAAATTGTTTGTGCGTTACTTGCGGGGCAAGGCCATTTTCGTCACTTCTAAGGCCATTTATTAAGTAAAATAAAATAATATAAAATAAAATAAAATAAACAACAAAAAAGTTTGGGAATTTAATGAAAAAACCCCTCAACATTGGTGTGATCAATTTTTAAACCCTCAACTATTTTTTAGGTAAATAAAACCCTGAACTAAAAACATTAACAAATTTAATCCTTCACCTATAAAAAACCTAAACACACGTAATAATCTCTTCTACGCAATCAACGTTTGTTTAACTGAAACAAAAAAAAACTAAGCATTAGTTTTTAAATACAAAAATTAACAACAAACCTTCTCTGAAGAACCTTCGTTTTCCATAAACGTTCACACGTCGAATAATAGATCACCAAAAAAACTCTCAAATCGTGAAATCCTAAAACCTCAAAATTCCAAATGTTGAACGGTTAGTGAAAAAGAAACTAAAGTAGGTTTAATAGGCGATTGACACAGAGTTAATCGAGGGTGAGACGCATAATTAAATTTAATGATGGATGACATTAACTCATCGAGTCTCCATTATGGAGTGAGGTATTGATGGAACATATGTCTATTTCATCTGGTTTGAATTTTGTAAATTATTGTGGTAAGTCAAATTTTTTTGTTTGTTGTTGTAAATATGTTTCAGAATAAGCATTTTGCATAAAATATGAGAAAATTTTATATTTTCCATCAGGAATTGCAGAATACTATAATCGAAAATTGTGTTGTGATTGTAATATGTTTAAAAATATGCCTAGTGGTTTTCGTTTTACTATTCTGCTAGAGTATACCAAATTGTAACGATATAAATGTATGCTTTTATAGACGGAGGGTTAAATTTGTTAATGTTTTTTAGTTTAGGGTTTTATTTACTAAAAAAATAGTTGAGGGTTTAAAAATGGATCCAGCCAATGTTGAGGGTTTTTTTCATTAAATTCTCAAAAAGTTTCAAAAACCCTTCAAAGAAATTTAAAAACAGAATCAGAATGGTGTAATCTAATAAATATGAAAGCCGAACATAAACATTAAACATCCAATTGTGTAGGATGTGTCTGTCTTCAAACTTAGTCGAGCTTACAAGGATGTAACATTGATCTTGATCTTGATCTTAATCTTGATCTTCCTCTTGTTGTAGCAATGTAATCTGGGAACATGTCGAGGAACTTGCATATTTTAAATGGTTCCGACCCCATATCTCTGATCACGGCTCCTGTAGCCGACAGCTGCGAAAGACACAAAGACTAAGGACACAAACATCTTTCGTTTTTCTTAGTAAAGAATATGCAAACGCGACGAATGACAAAATCATAAGTAAGTTGCTTCAATGACAATATGGATTTGTTGATTTAAATCAAAAGCTTAAGCTGGTGAGTTAATTAGGCATCGAAATAATAATAATAACAACGACATACTTACCCAATCAGCCCCATAAATCCTCTGAATGGTGTTGTAAAAGTATTCTCCCTTCGCCGAGTGTTCTATCAAACCATTTTGACTCATTTCTTGAACTACTTTTGTTACATATGGTACCTAAAGCCATACAAAAGTGTTACAAATCAAAACATAACAACAACTAAAATGAAACACAACTGATGGTCTGACGAAGCCGCTCCCTCGACCGCAGTTCCTCACGTTTCAGTCCAAGATTGGTGTTGCCGAGGCACCTCCATCTTGTGGGGGCGTGTAAGAGAGATGATATATTTGTAATTATACTTTACCTAATCACTCTTGTAATCTCTTTATATATTTTGTAAACACTCTAATGTAATTGACAAGGCATTCAGTCATATAAAAAAATCAAAAAATCAGGCCATATTTGCTATAGCTCAAGTTAGTTCCTTACAATTTCCATTATTAAAGAGTAAAGAAGAAAAAAAAAACTTATATACCTTCGAATAGTAGTAACACACAAATGTGATCAGCTTCTCAAAGAATTCCAATGAAGGCTCAATACGTAACGCTCTATGAAACATTGCACACGCCTCAATGGCACTATCATTGCCATTTTTATCCTGATCAGAATCCAACCAAATCAGGAAAGCCACTAATTAGTTTCAAGCCAAACAAAATTTTCTCATACCATTATCACAAAATGACAATAACCACATTTGCTGATTTCAATCAAATCTAGTAATGTTTTGGTTCCATGGAGACAAAAAGTGTTATCCTTAAATAACTCAATACTCATGATGGTAACAAAACATAAGAGAAGAACTCTTCGGTTTGATTGTTTTCTAATTAAGAGTTTCATATGCTCGATGACCAGCTAGTCATGCCTGAACTAATCCTAAACAAGTTCCTCGACTGGTTCGAGCTATTGAATCAAAGAATAACTCACCATGTCCTCAAAATCGATGCTAGTAGCGTACCAAAAAATGAGGAGTGTAATATGCTCAACCGGTACTGCAATATAGATATGCAAAACATATCAATTCAGATTGACGTATCAAAAAGATTGGTGTAATCTCACAATTATATAGATAAGACAACTTACAAGTTGTTTTCAGCTTCCCAAGTAACCTCTTAGCTTCAACAAAATTTTCCGACCGTCCAAGATATTCGAAAATTGGTCCCAATTGTTCCAATGAAGAAACTTTGGTTATGTCTACAGTCTTTAACAACGTCTCAAGAAACTCATCCTCATTTGTTGCACAAAACGCTTCCAGATAATTTACTACAAAATTTGATCACAAGAGTTAAGCAAGAAGCAATATATATCTCTTTTAAACGATTCTTCGCCTTACCTTCCAAGCTCGATAGCTTCCCCCATCTATCGATGATTCCCCAACCAATCTCCTCGATCTTCTGTTCATTATTAAGCTCACACCATATAAGCATTTCATAGTAACCAAGCTTGGATTCAGAATCAGGAATCTCTTCTTTAAGTATACCAATAAGAAACTTGAACTCCTCTTCCATTTCTTTATCAATTAAGTAACAAAGACAAGAACTATACATCTCTTCTTCTATAGAGAGACCTTCTTCTTTAACAAATCTAAAAGCACTCATGATCTGTTCTTGGCCTTCACCAGAGGTATATGCATCATGTATGGTTTTTGTAAAGAATGCTTTACAATTCTCTTCACTAAATTTTACTCCCAATCTGCGAAGTGTCTCTAACGCTTGATGCCTTCCATCGTCTTCATATATCAAATCTATTAAAAGATCATTATAATAGCATTTCCCAATCAAAACCCTAATTACTTATATTTCAAAGATTGAAACAAAACTTTAGGACGGAGATAACGATACCTTGTCTGATGATCGACGGACTGTGAAGAGATCGGGAAATCTCAGCCGTTCGTAGAGAAACTCCGGCAGCGGCCGTGCCGCCAGATGCGAAGCGGAAGAGTCTGCTCAGAGTTTTATTACTTGCGGCTACAATTTTCATTCTAACCATTGCTGAGAGAGAGGAAGAAGTGAAGAGGAGAAACGTGGTGAACAAGGAAATGTTATGACGGAAGGGAAACAAAGCCTAGGGTTTTTGGAAACCTAGAAAATACTATAGGGTTTAAAGATGAAACGTGTCTTTTATTATAAAACTCCATTAGTTTTTTTTACAGCTGGTTCATTGTCAACCCTAAAAAAATAAAAAAAATCGCAAAATTGAGATGGTGAACCGCTACAATCCTCGTCGTCGTTTACGTGGCCACGTCCTAGAAAACAAGAGAGCAAAAAGAGATGTGATCGACTCTTTACCTGATGATATTCTCATACATATCCTCTCCTTTGTCCCGACCAAATTCGCCATCAGAACATCTGTTTTGTCAAAACGATGGAGGAACATATGGTGCAATACACCTCTCCTCTACTTGGATAATTGTATAGTACAACCTTCTTCGATTGATGAATCCCTAAATCGCTACACAGCTCCCAAGATAAAGTAACTTTTTCTCAAAACCAACTTCAAGTGCAATGTTAAGTACTACATCAAGAGGTGGACCAGATTAGCCATGTCCCGTAACGTGGAGAATGTTTTCCTCCAAGTTCCTGTTCTTGGTTTTGAAATTCTTGATTGCTTCTTCAGCAAGATTGAGTTAGCCTCTTCTAATAAGATTCGTCGAAACGTTGTATCTTGGACATCATTGAAGAAGTTTTCCTTGCGTAAGTGCACTATCCCTGATGCATCCATTGCTAAGATTTTATCTGGTTGCCGGAATCTTGAATGTTTAACATTGCACAAGTGCCAGCAACTAAGGTTTCTTGATCTCCGCAAAATGTTGCACTTGAGAACTTTAGAAATATACAGCCACTATAAAGTCAAAATGCGGATTGTGGCACCACATATCCATAGTCTCAGATTCGTAACCTCTCAGTTACCATGTACTTTAGTTAAGATCTCGTCTTTAACCGAAGCGAGGCTGGACATTTGCATTAACTCAACATGTCGGATCTGCAAGGCTGATTTTCTCCAAGACATGATGCTAGAGTTGCTAGAAAAGTTAAAACATGTTGAGAAGCTAACTTTTGGTGGAAACTTTCTTCAGGTATATATGTTTTGTGCTCAAGATTATCTTACATTCTCTAACTATAGTCTAACTATTTTTTACGCTTTTTGTGCTTTCTTTTAGATTTTATCTCTTGCTGAGGTTCGCGAGGTTCCTTTTCCGATGTTAAAGGTCAAAACTTTGATTCTTGAGACAGTAATCTTTCAGTATGTTGTTCCTGGTATAAAAAGATTGTTACAAAACTCTCTTGAATTAAAGAAGCTAATGGTACGCGAAAGTGATTATACTAGTTTATGATTTGGAAAAGTTTATGATTTTGGAAAGGAGAATTTGGAAAACACACCTTTTGTTATAAAACTAGTTTATGATTTTTAAAGACTATACTATGTATGTTTGGTACCCTAATACTGTATATCTATTTCAGTCAGAAATTCTAAGCATCGATTTATTGTAAGGAATGCATCTATTATGAATAACTCATCAAGCATTAACATGATCAAGACATCAAGCATATATAAAATAATTTTTTTTTGTAAAACCATACATATTGAGAATCTAATTAACTTAGGTTGAAATATGTTTTGGGCCCAATCTTACATTCTCAAATGCTACTAACTCTCTTACTTATTTACTCTACTCATGGTGGTTGTAAAGTCAACGTGTGATGTATAAGTTTATGAAATCTTCCTGATCACTATGTGCTTTGGTATTCACTATGACACTACTTTTGGTGCTATCTATTACAGCTTTATCTCTTGCTAAGGTTCGTGGTAACTCCTTTTCCGAGGTTAGAGGTCAGAACTTTGAATCTTGAGAAAGTAATCTTTCTGTATGTCATTCTTGATTTAGCAAGATTATTACAAAAACTCATAAATCTTTTTTTTTTTATGTTGACCATTAGAGTTGCTTGACAAAACACAATTGATGTATGGTACCCTAACATATCCGTTTCAGAGTGAGTCAAGAATTATATAGTAACTCATTAATGTTAGCCATTAATGTCAACAATTACTCGTCAAGCATGAACATCAACACATTCAGACAATATCATAATGTTGCGATTGGTCCAAGATTTGGTGGTTGGTTAATTATACCATTCTTGATTACATTATTTATACATATTTCTGATTACCAGCATTCGCAGGGACATTATAAACTTAGGTAATATTCATACATATGTCATTCTGTTGCAGTTTGAAGTTGCTTGTAGTAACAAATCTTCTCCTAAACTCTCCATGACATAAATAAGGTTAGAACCTTTTCATTGCCTTCTCTATATTGAGGAGGCCACTTCTTGTTGGTGCTTTGTTGTTTTCGCCAGGTCGGCCTTACTTGTGTCATCTGAGGTCAAGTGTCTTTCCTAATGCTTGAGGTTTTTTTTATAAATACATTTTTCATTTCTTCCAATGATCCAAGAATTAAAAAAAGAAAGGGAAAATCGAACCAGAGCATTTCGGTTAAAAACTAGAAAAATATACTTTTTGTGTTCCTAAGTAATCTAAGTTTTAGATTTTTATTTTTAAGATATATTTTATGCTTTTATATGTAATTTATATTGTTTATTGATAATGAATTGTAGACTTCAAAAATTATATTTGATATTACTGGTTTAGATTTATAGAACATTATTAATCACAATTTTTTTATTATAAATTATTGTGAGAAGTTCTAAAATTAGATATATTAGGAATAAAAAAAGCCGGCCTAAGCCACAAACTCGTGAAGCATGTACTTGTGGCCGTGTTATAGTTATTAATATTTTGGCCCTCATTTACTAAAAAGAGGTATAAAACTAAATTATCCATATTATTACACACTACCGACTTTTAGCACGTGCAAATATAACGGTCTAATTAAGACAATTTTATATATATATATATATATTTATTTATATTAGAATGTTTATATTTCCTTGTAAATAAAAAGTACATATAGATTAAAATATTTTCAAAGTAGAAATAATCTATATTTCTCAAAACTTAGTTTACCTCATAAAATATACTTTCAATCATCTTTCTAACACGGTTTACAAATAATTTTAAACAATCCTGATATCCACTAAAAACCGCAATCCAATAACTCCGCAAAACAAACATGTTAATCCGATGTGATATATAATATATCTCTACTTTTGTTCATATATAGTATCTCTAATTGTGAATTACTTCATCCCATATCCTAAAGAGTTACAATCCACTACACATGATCATCTTTCATTTCTTCCTTAAACCCCTTCCAAACTCAAACTCTATTCACATCTTGGACAAGTCTGAAAACTAAACATACTCTTTGACTCATATAGTTTATTATATATGGTCTCACATTCTTATCCCTACCAATTTGTAATCAAAAGACAGCTAAATCTTTTTTTTCTACATATCATATAAAAAAATTAATTCATCATCTGTTTGTTTCATTGCCATATTTTTTGACCTTTTTTTATAATAAAGATCTCAAAATTTTAACTTTACCATAATAAATAAAAATAACATAGACAAATTAAGTAAAAGACAAACGCCGCCAGGGTGGAGCCACGTATAAAATTAAAAAAAATCAAACCCGAAGACAACTCATGTTAACCAAACCCGTACCCGGATCCGAAACTAAAGACAACTCATAAAAAAACCCGAACCCGGATCCAATGGCTTTGGTTGTCACAGCTGGAAACAGCCTGTCACCAACGGAGAGTTCTCTCTCTTCCCCTTCTTCTTCTCTCTCTCTTAATCTTTTTTTTTTTCTCCTCCTCTCTTCCTTCTCTATCTCCTCTCTTCTTCTCCTTTCTCTGTTTTTTTTTTTAATATTTTGCTTTCGTTTCCCTCATCTCTTTCTCCGATTCTTAACCCGTCTCCGCTCAGATCTTCCCCGTTTCAAACTCTTTGGATCCAGATTCTCCTCCTTGTAAGCCTCTTCTTTATAAATTTGGTTTCTTTAATCTCTGATGGGTCTTGTTGTTCTCTTCGTTTGGATCTGAAAGTTTTGATTTTTATTGTGTTCACGCTCGTGTATTGACTTTTTTGTTCTGTGATTGAAGTTTTGGGTATAATGTCTTTGATGGGTTGGGGATAAAGGTTATGACTTTGGCTTTTGAGATTGATTTGTGTGGGAATCGTCTTAATCTTGAAGGTTGCTTTAGAAAGGTTGTGACTTTTTTAACTACCCGTTTTTATTGACTTTTGGTGATGATAGAATGTGTAATTAATCTATGAAGATGTTGTTGTCTTGGTATTCAGATCTAGGGTAAGGTGTTTGCTTCAATTTTTTGGTATATTAGGTATGGTTTTGATCCTGTTTTGTTTTGTTCAGTTTATGTAGGTGACACGCATATCAAGTGTTAAGGGTCAAGATCACAAAAAGTTGTATCGGGTGATCTGGGCTGCTTCGTTTGTAATCTAAAAAGCTAATTGTGCTGTGTCTGTTCTTGACTTGGTGGACTTTGATAGCTTCGTATGTTTCTGAGTTGAAAGGTTGAATCTTTCTACTTTTTTTTCATCGATGAGTAGTCACTAATCTGGAAATTTGTTGGGAGAGAAAGGCACATTTTACTGCTACTGCTAGAGATCTTTTCTGCATCCATGCTGGTAGAGAGCATGCGTGGATACTGTGTTTTGGGTGATGCCCCTGACAAAATTAGTTCCCGATGCATTCGGCGTGGTGACGATATGTCTAGTCGCTCTGCTAGTTCTTTTGGGTCTCCTTTGCATCGCTTACTCCTTCTACTTCCAGTCTCACGTTCGTAAGCAAGGGTATATTCAACTTGGTTACTTCAGTGGTCCCTGGATTATCCGAATTACATTCATTCTGTTTGCTATCTGGTGGGCTGTTGGTGAGATTTTTCGATTGAGTTTGTTGAGGCGTCACAGAAGGCTATTGAGCGGGTTGGATCTGAGATGGCAAGAAAACGTCTGCAAGTGGTACATCGTTTCCAATCTAGGATTTGCGGAGCCTTGCCTCTTTCTGACTCTCATGTTTCTTCTGCGTGCTCCCTTGAAGATGGAATCAGGAGCTCTGAGCGGAAAATGGAACAGGAATACAGCGGGTTATATTATTCTTTATTGTCTCCCGATGCTTGCTCTTCAACTTGCGGTTGTGTTATCCGAGTCCCGCCTAAATGGTGGTAGTGGCTCTATTGTAACGCTGCCACATGACTTCACAAGAACGTATTCCCGAGTTAATATTGATGATGATGAGGTCGCCTTATGCACATATCCTCTACTGAGTACCATTCTTCTTGGTGTGTTTGCAGCCGTCCTAACAGCTTACTTGTTCTGGCTTGGAAGGCAGATACTGAAACTTGTCATTAATAAGCGTTTACAGAAGAGAGTATACACTTTGATATTCTCGGTCTCGAGTTTCCTTCCATTAAGGATTGTTATGCTCTGTTTGTCGGTTCTCACAGCAGCAGACAAGATTATATTTGAAGCCCTGTCTTTCTTGGCCTTCCTCTCCCTCTTCTGCTTTTCTGTGGTATCCATTTGCTTGCTTGTCTACTTCCCGGTTTCAGATTCCATGGCCCTGAGAGGTCTAAGGGACACAGATGAAGAGGATACGGCTGTGACAGAAGAACGAAGTGGTGCTCTGTTACTTGCACCAAATACTTCGCAAACTGAAGAGGGCTTGAGCTTAAGAGGTCGGAGAGATTCGGGATCGTCTACACAGGAGAGGTATGTGGAACTCAGCCTATTTCTGGAAGCTGAGAACTAAAATCGCCAAAGGCTGTATCTATTTGGCTTTTGGCAATGTATAGATTCCTGGTGAAACAAGCAGAGAGAGAGAGAGAGAGAGAGAGAGAGAGAGAGAGAGAGAGAGAGAGGGGATAAAGACTTAAGTATGAGAATATGTTTGCAAAGAAAGGCATAAGTTCAGTTTTGTGGCAAAGACGCTTTGACTGTAAAGGAGGGTTTAAAGGGGGATTTACTCTTTGTGAGGGTTTGTTGTTTGAAATGTTTTCTGCTTGATGGATCATATTTTTGTACCTTTATTATGTGATCAATTTTGATTTAGAAAAAAAAAAAACACAAAACAAAGCTTCTTAGCCTTTTACCCCCTTTCATGAACATACTCTTCTATAACATCGAGAGATCACAAGGTTATGATGTCCAAGCATATAATGTAACCTTACAAATTAGTGCAAATGAAACATGACGGCTCTATATAAGTTTATCACAATCTGCTAATCTTCATGACTAAATGTCTATCAAGTGCCATTCGTAGGTGGTGGTAGCTTGAACTCAACTTAAAATAAGTAACCCAAATATTGAACAAATTAACTTGTCCATTACCATCAATGTAACATCACTTGAATTAGTAACAGCAAATTAAATGTGTTGACTCATCTGATTACAAAAAGGGAGCTGTCTCTCTAACCTCCAAGATAACAGATTACTCAAGAATTCTGGAACTTGCATGATTTCTCATATTACACAGCCTAAATCTCTACCTAAAGGATAATAACAACAGCAAGAAGCAAGAGCATCCAATCCATTGAGCTACTTCATCGTTTACTTCTCTTGATGCATGCCGATTCTTTTCACCTGAAATACAAGACCAACCATTCTGTTTGAATCCAAACTCAATTTAGGACCCCTTGAAGAATCCATAAAATTCTTATTAGGCAAAAGCAACACAACAAGCAAATACATGGCCTATCATTTGTTCATGTATAAGTTAATGGGGTCTTAACTTCCTAGCTTGAAACTACAGGGATATTATGCACATGTCTCATCTCATTCTACCTACACTGAAAAATTTACCCCTATGTTATTATGAATACCATCCATAATAAAAGAAGAAGAAAGAATATACTTTGCATTCAGA